CATGGCCGACAGGGGGGCTCGTAGAGTGCACATGGCGTGTAAAGGTGCCACCGGTTGGACTCGCACCACCACCCTCTCCCTGGAGAGGGTGGTGGTGGACGGCTCCCTTTCCCTGCTCAAGGCGGAGTCTAAGAGGTTCTCTGACTTGTGGGGCGATGCCAGCCCTGTCCCTTGGTTTAAGATTGGTGAGTTGGCCTCCGAGCTCGAGCCTGCGCCCGTGAGAGCCATCAGAGAATTTCCGCGTCGTTTCAAGGATGATATTTCGGTCAGCGTGGACGGCTTCCACATAAGGCATTTCAATTTCATGAGTGACTGCTTGTTGCGTATTGGTTTCTTCGCTTTTTGCTGCGATGTAGCTCGCGGCCTTGGTCCCTTGTCAGATCGGGCCCCCAAACCCAGCGCTGGTTCTCGGCCCGCTGGCCAATGCTGTGCGTTGTTCCGCGCGCGTGGCAAGGTTCGTCGCCCCCTGGCCCAGGCCTGGGAGCAGGCCTTTGCGCGTGATTTCTTTACGGCGGGGCCTTTCGAGGGGGCTCAGGATGTGGTTTGGGGACCGGCGGTTAGAGCGGATACCTCTACCCTGAACAAGGATGAGGCGGCCACTGTGCTGTTCGATTTGTACAAGTATTATGAGACGATCAATCTCCGTCTTCTGTTGTTGCGCTGCAGGCAAATGCAGTCTCCGATTGCCGTGACGAGGTTGGCGACTCGGATGTACCTCCAGGCCAGGTTTATTGTATTGAATGGGTTCGTGGACGGGCCCTTTGGGCCAGGGGGGGCATTGTGGCAAGGTGTACTTTTGTCGCGTCTTTTATCAGAGCTTACTCCGTCCAGGACCTCGACAGAATAACATTGCCACCTCGGCTTTACTTTAAGCTGTGCGTCGACGATTCTGGGCTTGGCGCCGCAGGTTCTAATATTATATTGTATTGTTTGCCGCCTGCCGCCAGCCGCTCGGATGCTTTATTCGGCCTTGAAGCGTGGGGTTGGACTTAAGGTCAGCATGGAGGAGGGGAAGCGATCCTTGATATGGTCATCCAGGGCGCCGGGCAAGGAGTTGGCCGCCAGGCTTGGAGGGCTGGCGGGCCCACTCGTCAGCTCGGCGCCCAACCTCGGAGTAGACGATTGTGTTGGCACGCCCCGTCGCGTGAAGGGCTGGAGCTCTAAGCGGAAGAAGAGGGGCCGACAATCCACGGCCTTCCTGGACCGTCTTCGGAAGCTGAATCCTACCATCGGTGGGGGAGTTGCTCGGAACGCGCTTGCTTCTGGGGCCCTGGCGTCCGAGATGTTCGGGTCCGAGGTCCATGGGGTCAGTGATTTCGAGTTGCTGAAGTATCGCCGTCAGGCGGCGTCTTCTTTGCAGCCATCGGCCAAGGGCCTCTCTCTCACGGCTTTGTTGTTGGCGCACGGCGACCCGTGTGGGTATGCGGCTGTATCTCCCATCTGTAGGTGGGCCAAAGGAGTTTGGTGGGCCCGTCACCGCCTGTGCCGGCATGCTCTGGTTTTCACAGATTTGCGGGCCGCCTGGGAAGCGGGTTTCAAGAGCGAGTTCCGTTGTGGCGAAGTGTTTCGGGGCTTGTCGCAAAACCTGCGAGCGTGTTTCGTGGGCCATGTCTAGTTTTGGGGTGCTAGTTATTTATCAGGGCCAAGCATTGAAGCTCGCTGAGTTCTCTCCCCGCCTGATCCGCAACTCGCTGCGTAAGGCGATGCTGATGGGGGCTCTAAGGGGATATGGGGGCTCGCCTTGGGGTGCATGCCAGAGCGTACGTTGAGCCAGTTCTTAGCTCTCTGCGTAGCAGTAAGTTTACCGCCTGCCAAACAGCTTGTTTCAGTGCCCTCTTTTTCAACGCTATCTACGCTAGAGCAAGAGCCGAAAGCCTAGGCTACGTGTTGCTGTCCAACAGGGGCGTGAAGTGTGGGGCCGCCTTAGACGCGCTTAGACACCGCCCGTGGGGGTGCCGAGGCCTCGAGTGCGTGGAGCTTAGGAGCAGCTTTGTGCCTCAGAAGATCCAGAAGTTGGCAGCTGAGGCTGACGACAACTTGGCTTGCTACGGAATGTTCGCCCACCCCGCCGACTACTTCCCGGCGCCGCTCACCGAGGGAGGCATCGAGTTGCAGTGGGAGGTTCGAAGGGCGCATTTTCGTGGGCGGATCGTGCACTAGATGTCTCGTCGGTGAATTGAATGGGCTGGCTGGGTAGTCATCCTTGTGTCGCGTGGGACAGGGAAAGTCATGGCGCGGGTGCGAGGGCCTGCGTGGGCCCCGTGTCCTCAGACGCCCAAGGCGGCTGAATCTCGTGCTATGTCCGCTGGTGTGAAGTGGGCTACGGGGCCCACCGCGACTTTTTCTGACTGCCCAGGCTGCGGGGATTTTGCCGCGCTGTTCTGGAGCGAGCAGGCCTTGGCTAAAAGGATGCATGGCAGCATGGCTAAATTTTTGCGGCAGGCGTGGTCGAGAGAGAAGCTTGAGACGGTTCAGGCGCACCTCCCTGTCCACGAGGCCGTGGATGATGACGACCGCTATGGGCGGCAAGGCATCGACCTGGCTGATCAGGCCGCCGAGGCCGCGGTTTCCTTGCATCCTGGGCCTGCCGAGGAGTTCCACGAGGGCCTCCAGAAATCCCGTGCCGTGGCTCGTGCTGTGGGACGTCTTGAGGCTAAGTTGCTCGCGCTGTGGCCCCGCCTGTCCCTCGGCCGAGATGTCCAGCGCATCCCCGCGCCTCCTGTGGTCAAGCCGCCAGGAGACAGTGCTGTGCACCAGTGGAGATGGGTGTGCACCTATTGGCAGTGCTCTACTTGCTTGCGTGGAAGGCGAGGTGCGCCTTCGGTGGGGCCCCAGTCTGGGACGTGCTCGACGGTTTTACGTGTGCAGTCCGTGAAGCTGCGTTCCCCAGGCCATCGTTGCGTGCTGCTCTTTTGCTCTGATGTTTTTAGTGTATTTGCTGCAAGTGCTCCTATATGGCGTGGGGGGCAGCTCAGGAACCTCTATGAAAAGTGCGAGCCAGACAAGCTGACCTCGTGCCGCAATTCGTGAACATATTGAACAACGGGGCTCCATCCGAATAGGCCTGGTGTCACCGTCAATTTACACACGTTGTGCTATTTTTAGTGTCGCTAAGCCGTGTGTGCACAGTGCATGGCGCGACACTTGGTCGTTGTCCAGTGTGGTGTCTCGCCGTTCTGAATTATGACCTTCCCCCAGAGAGCTTCGCCCACCTCCTGGGGTCTACGTTGGGATGCGGCATCGTGGATGCAAAACGTAGCCTGACGCAGGACCCAACCTGTATGCAGCTGTGAAAACCGCAGTTGTGGGTATCGTCTTCCGTGGAACTCCCGATGGGCCGCGAAATGCTGTGCTGGGTAAGGGAACCGCATGCGAGCGCAGCCACTAGGGCTTTCGGTGGAGCCCCCCATGGGGCCACGAAGCGCTGTACTGGGTGGGGGGTGACGCATGCGAGTGCGGTCACGGGGGCCTTCGGTGGAGCTCCCTATGGGGCCGCGAAGCGTTGTGCTGGGTGAGGGAGACGCATGCGAACTTTGCCACTGGGGCCTTCGATGGAGCTCCCCATGGGGCCACGAAATGTACTAGGTGGGGGAAACACATGTGGACTTTGCCACTGAGGCCTTTGGTGGAGCTCTCTTAAGCGATGTACTGGGTGGGGGAGGCATACGGGCGGTGCCGCTGGGGCCTTCGGTGGAGCTCCCTATGGGGCCACGCAGCGCTGTACTGGGTGGGGGTGGCGCATGCGGGCGGTGCCACTGGGGTCTTCGGTGGAGGTTCTTATGGGGCCATAAAGCGCTGTACTGGGCGGGGGAGACGCATGCGGGCGGTGTCACTGTGGCCTTCGGTGAAGCTCCGTTTGGGGCTACGAAACGCTGTGCAGGGTGGGGGTTGCGCATGCGGGCGGTGCCACTGTGGGGCCTTCGGTGGAGCTCCCTATGGGGCCACGAAGCGCTGTGCAGGGTGGGGGTGACGCATGCGGGTGGTGCCACTGGGGCCGTCGGTGGAGCTCCTTATGGGGCCACGAAGCGCTGTGCTCGGTGGGGGTGACGCATGCGGGCGGTGCCACTGGGGTCTTCGGTGGAGCTCCCTATAAGGCCACGAAGCGCTGTACTGGGTGGGGGTGACGCATGCGGGCGGTGCCAATGGGGTCTTCGGTGGAGCTCCCTATAGGGCCACGAAACGCTCTAGAGGGTGGGAGGCGCATGCAGGTGGTGCCAATGGGGCCTTCGGTGGAGCTACCCGTGGGGCCACGAAGCGCGCAGGGAGGGTGGAGGAGGGGGAAGGGGGGAGGAGGAGGGGGAGGAGGAAAGAGTGAGTGAGTCGGGGCGGTGTCTCTCCAAAACGAAGACCCAAAGCCACAGGATGGTTGTGAAAAAAGCAATTCGTCAAGACGAATCTGCGCGGTGCTAAGGCGACTGCCACATTTTGAAAGCAATCTCCACTCCATCTGAGAAGGCATTGTACACTTTTGAGACGGATGTGCGTGGCGCTAACGCTGGAACCACATTTTGACCCCCGCTCTATCCTTGGAAATGTTGTAAACTTTTCAGACGCATGTCCGCGACGCTAAGGCGAGAGCCACATGTTGAAAACGACTTGTGTTCCATCCTTGAAGCTGCTGTACGTTTCAAGCTTAAGGGTTATGAGTGGCGAGGAAGTGTCAGGCGAAACGGCCGGCCTGCCCTATCGACACGTCTGGTGGTGCGACATGGAGGATTTTTCAGGTGGGAAACGGATGGAGGAGGAGGAGGAGGAGGAGGAGGAGGAGGAGGAGGAGGAGGAGGAGGAGGAGAGGGTAGGGAGGGAAGAGGGAGGAGGATCTGGAGGAAGGTGGAGGAAGGAGGAGTTTGGGAAGCAGGAGGAGGAGGAGGAGGAGGAGGAGAGAGGAGGAGGAGGAGGGGAGGAGGAGGAGGAGGAGGGGGGGGAGGAGGAGAGGAGAACGAGGATGCAAGCAGGAGCAAGAGGAGGAGGTTGAATAAGCTGGGGGAGGAGCTCCCGAGGACCGCCGCCCGGGCACTACGCCCTGCCGCCCCCTGGCCCGTACGGCTCCATCCCCCGCGCCAGCCGGCACCGCTCTTCGCCGGCAGCCCCACCCCCCATCGAGGGGAAGGAGAGAAAGGAGAGGGGAGGCTGGAGGGAAAGAGAGAGGGGTGAGGGGGGGAGGGGAGCGGAGATAAAGAATCTCTCTCCTTGAGCCCCGATGCGAATACGGGCGAATATCCTCTGTCTGTCTGCATTGCTAACTACCCACTGGTAAGAACAGATACTACCTCTGGTCAAACCCAAAGTCTAGCTCCGGTTCCGGTGTCCCGCTCCGAAGAACTCATCCAGGCTTAATTTGTGGGTGTCCTAAACGCATGTATCTACACACAGATATAATAAATAATCAGACTCTCCTTTTCATGTATATGTTACACGCCACCTACACGATAAGAACATCTACTACTCTGAACTGTGGTGCAGGGGCGAGCGAGAGGGACAGCCAGGCGGCTGTCAAGCCTTGAGGTCCAGCAGGTCGGATTCATCGAAGCAGTCCTTCGGCTTGATGATCGTCCTAATCGTCACGTACTCAACCTTCCACACTCCCGTAGTCATGTGCTGCATGAGTAGCTTGAAGACTCCAGATTTAGTAAGGCCGTCGACGAGCATGATCTCCGTCGGGAGGTGCAGAAAGTGCCGAATGCGTCCTGACAAACGTTCCTCTCGCATTGCAACGGAGGGCAGTGAACTGAGCACTCTGGTTCACCTTGTAGCTGGCATTCGTCTCTGCATGACATGTCGAGTGTGAGATGCCCTTTGCCTTCCCAGAGGCCAACATCAGTGTGTGGCAACTGCCACCAATCATATTTACATCTTGGGGATGAACCTGATCTTTTCTCACCCAGATCTCGTGCATACGGTCCTCCATCAGACGTGCTGCGGTGCCCTCCTGCGGATAAGAGGTCATGGTGCCACCATGGCTGGCGTCTCCAACAGGGACCAGTCTAACGTGATACCTGAGTGGTGCAAAATGAAGGCCAGCTAGTTTCTCGTTCGTTCGGCGCGATCAAGTTTGCCTGCTTGAGGTGACCGATGTTGGCTTTCCGAGCCTGTTGCTGCAACTGTACCACCTCGCAGTAGATGCACTGGTCTGACACAGCCACAGCAAACTACACAAGGTGCTCCTCAGGTCGTGCTGCTACTTGCTGCTGCACTCCTTCTCGATATTGTCCCTCAGCGCGGGCTCAATGACGATCTTCTTCAGCGAGTCCGTGGAGTCTTCCTGGTGGATGAATAAGTGCTTGCGCCGAAGCTGCTCGTAGCTCATACTCATGTGCGTGAAGGGCAGCTGGTGACGTTTGATTTTCCCGGATCGCTTCTCCGTCTCAGTCAGGCTACAGCAGAGATAAGCCGTTCTCGCCGACACCATGACATCGTCCACGTGAACGGTCTAGACCGTCATGATGCTGCCATTCTTGATCCATATGAAGAAATTGTCATCGAGCACTGACTGGATACCTGACGTATCCTTCATTACAAACAACGATAGTGCTAATTGACACAACAATGGAGCGTCCGCGGTGCCGTCAATCGTCTTCAGGAGCTGCAGCAGGAAGAATTGTACGTCCAACTCAAGGAATATGATGTTCGATTTCTCGTAGTCCCTGAAGTGCCGCCAGGCGTTGGTCGCTGGCTCGAGGTACACCTTCGGCTGCTCTCTGACTTCGATGCCCATCCGCTTTGCATTCCTGCGCAAAGTCTCGTACGATAGTCCTTGCAGAAACGCTGCTGACAAATCCCATGTCTCCAAGGTCAAGTCCTTCTCCAGTGAGAAGAGTTAGGCAATGATCCTCTGGGAAAGTCGAGACGCTGTTGATGAATGCCGCGTCACGTCTTTCTTTGGGGCATCTAAGAAGCCTCTCCCGCAGGGACGGGATTTGATAATCTAAGAGGTCTCGTTGTTGGCATTGTAGACTTTCTTCCAGCGCCTGACCCAAGTAGCGTCGATAATGTTGGATGTGTCCAGGCTGTTCTGGTGGGTCGCGCGGAAGCATGGGTTGTCTATGAAGGACCTCGCCTCATTCTTGTTGGCCTCCTCGACCTGGTCCCAGTACTCGATGATGCGTGCCTCCGTGAAGATGTCGACGGACTGGGTGAAGATCGCCTCGCCGGTCTTCAGGTCGAAATAGAAGTTCCGATCCTCGTGGAATGGGCCTGGGATGACCCAGTGAGAGTCTGAAGATGACCAACTCAATTTGCGATCATGCATTCGTCGAATCTTGTCTGAGACTTCCTGGGCCATGCTCATCATGATGTGCTGGTATTCATCTTACTCCTCAGTAGCCATGCAAGCGCAGGTGCCTGTCCTGAATATGAGCGATACCACTCTGCTGGTCGCCGAAAGCCACGGAGCCCTCGAGCATCTTGGGTCTCTTGGTCTCCGTAAGTGCTGGTTGCGAAGATGGTGTTGAAGATCTGTCGTTGCCGTTGTTCTTGATTGGTAATGGCCGCTTGCTGGTCTCTGGAGGTGCCGATGATGCTCGAAGCCTGACCTTCTTGCTCTCAGGTGGCTGCGAGGGTGATAGCCTCTGGCCAATGATCTTCGCGTTCTCGTCAAGACTCAGGTCGTGCTTCTTGGTTGCTCCAGGTACCGCAGGTCGCACTGGCTCGTCTTCTTCATCCTGAGCGCTCCCGGAGGCCGTCGGGCCAACAGGTTTTGCTGGTGCAGGTTTTGGCGGTCGACTCTCCTTTTCCTTGGGCGAGCCATAGACGATCGCAGGTGTTGGTGATGCGGCACCTGCTCGAGCTTCGTCGTAGATAATGGTGCACTTCTCTGCTTCAGGTGTATCTATCCTGACTGGCGTCGGTTCTTTGTTATCGCGCATGTCCGTAGTCGGTGCCAGTGAGCTCGTGTCTTAGCCGGGCTGCCTGACGATGTCGGTGCTGCCGCGGTGGGCTCGATCGGTGGCGCTGCCGGTGTCGGAGTAGTGGATAAGGATGGAGCTAGATGTTGTGAGATTGGTAGGACAGGTTTCGTGGTTGACTGCTGTGGTGCTACCTGGCTGGATGCCCCAGGCTCGTTGCGCTGTCGAGGTGGTGGCCTGCCGAGCTCCTGCCTCTCGATCTTTTGCTGCCAAGTCTTCGGTATCGACGTCGTTATTCTCGCTGGTGACGGTGGTATTGATGGCGCGGCGACGGGAGTAGCAGTCGGTGCAGGTGTCGCCGTTCTCTTAGCCGGAGGTGAGGCTCGTGGCAGGAGAGCTTCCTGGCTCATGCTGTCTTCTGGCCCTGCTGGAAGGTGCTCTCCCATGCTGTGGTCGTCGATGTCGAAAGATACTGGCTGATCGTCTCTGGGATCGAGAATGCGAATCCTCGGCGCCGCTGGAGATGCTGGAGGAGGTGGTGGAAATGGATGTCGTGGTGGCACGACGATCGAGGGGCTGCTGATGCTGTCGCCTTCTCCCTGCCAGGTCATGTCCCTGTCGCTGATATCGAATCTCTCAGGGCCCTCTCGAACTGCAGTTGGCGCTGGCGGTGCTGGTGGTGGTCCTGGTGGTTCATCTGTAGGTGCTGGAACAATCTTTGGCGGTGAGAGGCTCAACGGCGGTCCTGGTAGGACGGCGGGAGCTTCGAGAGGTGAGTCAGGTGCAGCTGGAGTTGGTGGTGGTGCTCCAGGATCTTCTGGTGGACTATGGGGTCCATGATGAGGAATATCAGCATCTGGAGAGCCTTCGTCTGGATCGTAACCGATGCTGCAGATGTCCGAGAAATCTGGAATCGTATTTTTTTTGGTCTCAGGATCTTCCGAAGCCGATAGACAGGTGTAGAAGATGATGCTGCAAGCGTCGGCGTCGCTCATGCCTGGGACTGCCGCCAAGATGTCCAACACTTGTCCGCTGAGATTGATGTCTCGCGTAATCTACTGAGATCGTTTCGTACAGTCCCAGATCACCTGCCTTCCGAACCCCGCAACACTGACTTCGCAAAGACGCTTCACGCACCTGCCGAAGACAATGCCGTCGATCTTGATTCCCCACTCGTTCTCCGCACAGTGTACTGCTTGCTGCCAAATTTTCGGAGGATTCTGGAGAAGGTCGCTCGGTGTGTGATGCTGAAGTCCGTCATTGCCAATAACGGTGCCCATAACCTGTGGTTTAAAGGGTATGTTGCCTTCGATAATGTCCAGCACGTCGTAGTAGTCGGTGACCAGGCAGATCATGTCGTGCGTAGCCGTCGTATGTTGTTCTATCGCGCTGGTGACCCAGCCTGTGAGAGGCTGATGGAGGCGTATGTGTCGTAATGGTAGGATGTAGGGGCATCAGTTTCAGACCACTGTCGCACCCGTCGACTTCAAGTGTGGAAGCTCGCAAGGGCCGCGCCAGCCCTCCTGTTCCTTCTTATCGGGCGTTCGATACATGTCGACTTGGTCGCCAACTTTGATTTTCTGCAAGTCGAGGCGCTTTGGACGAGACCTGCTGGCGACCGCGATGCGCTCCTCCACAATCGCCTTCAGCACGTTTTGTTTTGATCGCAGCCTCATTCAGATGTTGGACTCGCACGTGTCTGGGGGGATCTCAAGGGCGCCTCTAGCAGAGGTGACCGTGGATGCCTGACCATCGTAAAAATCTTGGGTTGTGAATCCCAGTGGCGCATACGCCGGTGTGCTGCCACCGTGTTTGAGCAAGAAATTTTGCGCCATGGTAGCCTCGTAGATCAGGGTCTCATCCTAGATGTTGAGGCCATCGCGCTGGGCGTCCACCTTGTTCTTGAGAGCGATGGCCTTTGTCATGCGAATGTGGCTCTCCACCAGGCCTGTTGTGGTGTGCTGGGCCATGTTCAGGTTGGTCCCTGTCAGCTCGCGCTGGCTGGAATACCTGCCGAGAGCTTTCCCAACCGAATCGGTAGTAAGGGAGCCATCCTGATCTGAAACAAAACACTCCATGGGGCCAAAGAATCTGATCCAATGGTCGCACAGTCCTCGCAGGTATTCTGGTCCAATTTTAGCTCCGAGGTTGCCCGTGACCTTGGAACGAGTATGTTCATCCGCGAGAATCAACCATATCTG